AATGGGACTGTGTTGTTGAGACCAGAAGCGGTGGGGAATTCTGTAAAGTCAGTGTCACCATAGAAGTCACCCTTCCAGCACGCCTGCAGCCCAGTGGTCGGCGAGTCGAATGCTTTGAGGTTGAGGTCGCTGAGTGGTCCGGACTGCCAAATATCCGTGACGTTGGTTTGCGTCACTTGCTTGACTGTGTTGTTCTTATCAATGTAGAAGATGTGGAACTATTTATACTTAGTACATCTTCTTAAGAAGAAGACCGAGAATGGGTCAAAGTTAGTTTCAGAGTACTCACAAATTGGGTTTCATCGATAGCAAACGCGACCGCGGATATGGGCGATGCGTCCTTTGCATCACTGGCCACAGTCTGAGCTTTGGTTCCACCAATCCATTGCCTATCTGTGGTATATTGCATGAACCGGATGTCGCCTGTATGATGCTGGAAGTAAAGTGTGAAGATTCGTCGTTGGCCTTTGTTCCACGACTCTCCAGCAAGAGCGATACCAGTGCCGTCTGGGAGGAAGTAGGCATAAGGTTAGTGTGAATTCACATTCATCTTACAGATATGTACTCACTGAATACACCCTTTTTCGACATATATTCGGCGTTGAGAGAGCCGCCAATACAGGACTCAGGGTTATCGCGACAGAACGGATGAACAATGTCCTCATGTCTGCGTTGCGTTAGTGTACGGAGTGCACGAGGGAGTACACCTGTTGAAACTTACGACTCCTTCTTCCTTAGGCCCAAGCCCAGACCGAGTCCCAAACCAAGACCGATGAGTGCAAGAACACCGAGACCGATGAGGATGAAGAAAATGCGCTTCTTCATGCCGCATCTCCGATCGTCTTTCGGTGGCACTGGAGGAGGGGCAGGTTCATGATAGCTTTCATACGAGTCGACATGCTCTTTGAAACCGTACGGCCGGATGTTTGGAGACGTGATGGTAGTGCCTCCATGCGATGAAGGTGACATTGGTCGGCCTCCATGAGGGTAGTGACTAAACTGGCCGGGTACTCTACAGATCCGCGGATGAAGTAAGTGTACGTATCACAAGTAGTTAGTACAGGGCACATACACTTGAGGTCCGGAGAAGTCTGGAGTAGGCGTGCCTATTGGGTCGAGTGTGCTATACGGAGTCTCTTTCTCTGTCGAATACCTGCTACAGCGTTAGATCATGGGCCAAGAAGCGGCCGTGCGGTGTGATGAATACATTGGAAAAGACAATGGGAGAGATCAGACTTACCCTTCTTTGTATGCCTCGTAGTTCTGCGGCTGTGGAGACTGGTGGTACTCTTGTTCATATGGTAGTGGGGGTGAGACTGCTGGCGAGGTGTTCGAGTTGGGGTAGGGTTGTGAAGAACCATCGACTGGGTATATCTGATTGTGTTCCTGGAAGTGTGAAGGTGGGCTCCACTGGCTATCGGCATAGGTTCGGGGACTGCTCATGTCCTCGCGGTATTCTTCATGTCGATCCATTTTGCCTGATAGAAGGTACTAGGTATGAAGGGTGGATCGCAATCTTGACGGAACAGCGAGTTCACTAGCTTTGAGCCTGGCCGGGTGGACAAGAGACATGGTCCAAATGCAGCTGCGCCTCTAGGAAATGCAAGAGGAGTGCTGACGGGTAGGGTCAGGGTAGCATGCATACCTGAGTGCGCCTGAGTGCTTCTGGGTCGTGGATCATCCGGACATAGTTTAGGGTATGTCTACCACACAACAGTAAGCACAGCAGTTAGCATGTACCTAGCAATGGCAAGGACCAATTAGGGTTCGTGAGGCTCGCTGTCAGCACCACCGCATCCAGAGTTCATTCAGCGAACACATTATCATTCGTTGGATACTAGTTATGGTTCGATCGCGCGCATAGTAATGCGAATGGAGCCGAGCATTTGATTCTATTCAGCCGCTGAAAGTCTACCTAAGTACCGTAAGCACTCCATAGCCCAAAGGATTCAATAAGAAAATGATTGTACAGTACTGCTCTCACGACAGACCTGTATCGCATGATACATCCGCCCATCTGTTTCGATGGCGAGAACATAACCTTCTCGCCGGAGATGCAGCTTTGTGGCTTTCGGTAGCAGCCAAAGTTCAGCCCTGGACTAGGGTCGGGCTGGAAGCAGAACTAATATTAGGTTCGTGATTTGCTGGGTCCAATCATGCTTCATACCATCTCGCTTGGCCCGGAAAAGTCGAGAATCTGTCAGCTGGAGGAGACAAAATCGTTCGTTCGTTATACAGGTGTGGTGGGTCAGACGGCGAGGTCTTCCTCTAAATTGCAGCGTCGTGCGGGAGCGTCCGGTAACCCCGCAAACCAACCTCCAGAACCTGGTGTCGCATTGTAACAGTGGGTAGAGGAGTATGCACTCAACCGATGTGCGACGCTATGAATCTCAACGAGGAAGCCAATATGCGAAGGCCCAATTACTAATATGAAGGCCGCTGTGACTAGTTGGGTAGTTGTACGTACCCAGATACACAACGTTGCGGCTGTTCGGAAAGTCCGCGCTGCGCGTTCGAACCATATTCCGGGCTGAGCTCATCGTGGTAGGCTTGAGTTCCACCAGGTGTGGCGACTCAATGGCAGACCTGGCTCACCGGTTGGTGCACAACATGTGTGATTTGATCGTCTGGTGGAGAGCCGACCTGGCGATGCTGACCCTGTCAACTTGGATGCTATCAGCAACGTACGACATTATTTGCGCACCAAAGCGGATACGATAAGGAATATGGGACATAAGAGCAGTTACAGGAGGAGCGCGGCTCCAACAGTACGCTGTGTCTCTATCCTGATGTTTTTCTGTAGCCTCATTGAGGGCATCATGTATCCGAGCGTGCTTCTGAAAGTCGCCGACGACTATGAAGCCGGAGACTTATTGCAAACCAGCGCAAATCCAATGGGGTGCTCATGGAGCAATCAGTGGAATATGACCTGTATAAAGTACGCTTCGCAGAGCACACAGCAAGGCGCAGCATCACGTTGTGACGCGAGACCTTTGAGCAATATGTCAGCTCCACAGCACGAAAATGACACAGGGTGAGTTGTACAATCCATAGACGCTGCAGTAATGCATCAGCTAAAAGCGTGTCAGGCAGGTGTCAGACTGGTTTGAAGAGCGCCCAATAAACAAGGCCAGCCGTCAACAGATTGTTGGTGTGTACTTGTCGATAGGATCGCTTTTGTAGGCATCGACTGGGCTAAGCTTCCGGGTGGCACAGAAACGGGCAAGACAGTGCACATGCTGGACTATGCCTGCGGACCCGGGTTCCTGGTAAGTTCTCGTTGTACGAAGTGCGTGTGAGACATTTACTGATTTCGTACCTCCCTGCAGAGTAAGGTTTGTACACTTGCGCACAATACGCAGGTCCCTCGCTGATTGTAAATCAGATATTCGGACCATACGTATCTTCGATACACGCAGTTGATGTATCTCCTGCCATGATTGAGAAGTACATCAACAACATAGATACGTTCGGCCTTACTCGCGAAAAGATTGCAGGCACGGTCGGCAACTTGCTGTCAGACCCGATCGAGCCTTCTTCGCTGTCGAGCGAAGAGTATAGCAATTTCGACCTCATCACAGTCGGCGCAGCTTTGCACCATTTCCCCTCTGCAAAGGACGCTCTCCGGCTGTTAGGGCAGAGGCTGAAGCCTGGAGGCGTCCTTCTCATTCAGGATCTGTACAGCTACGTTGTAAGCGAAGCTGCTCGAGAGGCAGGCAAAGCGAAACATCCGCAACAGAAGGAAAGTGACTTGGCATCGATGCTGCGGGAGGCTGGGTTGGTCGACTTCCGCTTTGAGGTGCTGCAGGGAAACTTCGAGATTGAGCTACCAAGCGAGGAGGTGGGTCAGATTCAGTGCTTCCTGGCGAGAGCTGCGAGGCCGCTGAGCTAGACCTAGAGATATTTGATACCATAGGCGTTGTTGCGGTAGTTTCGTATGCGAATCCCATACCTAGGTAGTTATATCTTGTCTGGCGATCAAGTTATTTGTGAGCAAGTCTGAGGTGGTGTGGCGTATGTGTGGCTGAGGGGCTCAGCGACCAAATGATACGCTAATTTGCACTAGCGCGAACCAAATGAGTCAGGGGGTCATGACGAAACACGGCACCGTCCATTCGATAGTGTCGAGCCCAGCCCACGAAAGCTGACCCTTTCACACCCACACGCCCCTACGCCCCTACCCACACTGAAGACGCGATATTACTCGCGATCGACAGTGAAGCCCAGCAGAGAGCCGCCTCAACAAGTCATTCATAGCAGACGCGTCTGCCCCGCCTTCTTCTTCACAGCAGCCGCCCTCCCCCACATCCGCATCCGACGCCGGCCCAAGTCGACGGCAACCCCCGCGCGACACATCGCGAAATTTCCACTCCACCCAGCAAAGCGACAGGAATGGATTATATCTGCCCGAGAATCATGGCCTTTTTCTGGTACTCCAATCTCCCCAAGATCGCGAAGTTGGGCGACGACGTCCGCACTGGTCACCGCGTCTGAGCGCGACACTGCCACTCCGAACATCTCTATACACCTATAGCCTCCTGGCGTAGACGTCAGACACTGAGGGAGAGCGTTTCAAGCGGAAACGCAGCGACAGTCGCGCTCACAAGTTGCAACTTGTGACAAAGGACGTCCAACCGATCCGAAGCACTCTTCGCCTTCACCCTTCACAGCGCGCGCACAAACATCACGACCGTGCTTGCAGCAGTGAACGAACAGAGGCTCGTCCAAAAGACATCTGCGCAACCGAGAGTTTCCCGGGTACCAGCGGTCACATTCCCCGCAAACGAACCGCTCAACCGTGGTAGTGCTGCACCCGTGACTTTCCTTAGGGACCACCTGGACACGCACTACATCTGTCGGACGAGACTGTGAACACTCCTAGCATACACAGCAACAGCAGTCAATCTCCATCGCCCCGCGACACGTCTACGGCACCACAAGTCCTGCTCTCTACCTGCAGGTCACTGACCTGCCCTTACCACGCAACACACGACGCCACCATGGCTTGCACCAAGATACCCGCGAGCGTCATCATGCCGCCCCGCGAGCTGAAGCAGTACAAGCGATGGCAATGTCTGCACACGAATACTAGGCCAGCTGAGCAAGGCTACATCCCCACAGCACGCGAATATGAAGACTTCCACCAGTGGTTGAAACGACAAGACTCTGGATACTTCTCAGACCCATTTGACGACATCTCCGGTCACATTACCCACGGACGTTCTTCGGAAACGTCATCCTCCTTCGAATCGCCAGTCGCATCGATATGTCAGCATCCTATGCACCCTGTAGCAGCCGGCCAGCTACAATCACGATGTCCCGTCTGTATCATCGACCTGCACATCAGATACATGAATGTATTGTCAGAGGCTCTCGAAAGCGCAGGCGGTTGCGCGCCATCTTGTACACTCACCAGCTCAGAACACCAACACACCGTTTACAGCGCCTGGTGCAAGGGGAAGATCGGCACACTCAAGGAGCTATCGAGACTTGAGCTCATGGCCGAAGAAGAAGCTTCATGGTCTGCGCAGCATCAAGAGGTCGCGCACGAAGACGTGCGAACCGCAGCGAAGGCCGTGGAGCTATACTGGTCAGAGACTACGGGTTGCTTAGAAAAGCGACCGCGATCGAACAAACAGGCTGCAGTTGTCTTTGCCCCGGACACCGATTTCGAGCCCGGACGACCCAATCCGTACTTCCATAGGCGATCGCCGCGCTACGAGCCTGGGAAACACACAGTTGTTGAGGAAGGGGAACAAGAAGATGATGTCTCAGAGGATTCGGAAGACTACTCTCACGGAAAGATACATCATGTCGGCTCAACAGACGAGTCAAGCAACATTACTTCGCGGTCTGAGGCAGAGGAGTCACAAGCCGTCCTTGACTCAACCTGCGAGATCGAAGAGGATGATGGAGACAGTGACTGGGAAGATGTTGACTCTGACGAGGACAACTCTGACTGCGAAAGCGAATTCAGTGACAGTGACTGCGCATACTTCGAGATTGAGGAAGAAGCGAGCTTCATCGTCTTTGGCGACGACTGAGCTGATCCACAGCGATCTACCTCATACACTCATCGCTACGCGACCACCCAAAGACAGCCTCACAAGAAGCGTTCGCTACGAATCATGTACATATACCCAAGATAGGAGGCAGAGGCACGAAGGACCGTGTCTGGGGAGGAGGACAGAGAGGCAAAGCATACAAACAGGTCTCCAACAAAGGCTGGCAGATGTCGCGCGGCGCGGACGTGAAGAGAAGCAGCGGACTTGATAGCACACATGTGAGTGATCGGAAAGACACTCATCTATCGTCAATGACAAGAATTCATTATTCTGACACGCCTGATCCATCTCTATGACTCTTTTCTCTTCATCCTCAAAGCATCATTGCAAGCTATTCCCACGCATCCCTTCATCGCGGCGCTGCCCTTCGCGCATCATTGCCAAAAGATACAATGTCCTGGAACTGGCTTCCTGGCTTCTTCAGCTCAGCCTCAATTCAAGAGCACGCCGATGCACTTGGATACCTTTTCCACTCTGAAGGTTACTACGAATCAGCCTACACAGCATGGAAAGGCGCCTTCAGGCATCGTAATACACCTTCCAACGTCTATGATGCCGAGTGGTGCCATAACCTTGAACTTCTCGGTCTAAAGCTTCACACCCTTGACCGACCTGAGGAAGCTTTGAAGCGCCTCAACGAAGCGCTCACCTACAAAGAAAGCACGCTCTCCCACGACGATATTAAGGTGTGCGATACACTTGTCAGGATCGCGAGGGCGCAGGTCGCTCAACACAAGTACGAAGCCGCAGAAGCGTCTTTCCGGCGAGCACTAGACGGATACACACGCTTTCTCCCTTGGGGCCATGCCGAGATGTTGCAGATATCCAACGAGTTTGCATACAGTCTGGCTTGTCAAGCCACGCCTGCTGCTGTACAAGAAGCGGAGGAAATGGCAACAAGGACGTTGGACGCGAGGGAAACGCATCTAGACAGGATACATCAGGAGACGGTGGAGAGTGTGTGGACGTTGGGATTTGCAGTGGAAAAGGCCGGGAGAAGAGCAGATGCGATGCGTTTGTATGAGACGGCGTACGAACAAGGGAGGCGTTTGTTGGGAGAAGAGCATGCTGATGTTGTGGACTATAAAAGTGATCTTGATCGGTTGGAAAGAGAGGAAAGGGAGGAAAAGGACAGGGAGGAAAGGGAGAGGGAGGAAAGGGAGGACGATGAGACAGTGCAGTGACTGTTATTATGAATCATATCAACTATTATATCCAGGCGTCATAATTGTATATACTTGAGCTTTGAATTGTCATGGCCTGGCGGGCGACCTACAACACTACGCCTTTTCTTTCCCCTTTCCATAAGCGTCCACAATAGGCGCCTCAGGTACATCAATGCCCCCAATTTTCCATTTCATACCGGGATACGAATCACTGAGCACGCTGATGTCGACCTTCTTGCCCTGTGCCTCAGGCGGCAATGACACCTTGGCTGAAGCCTGCAATCTTGACTGTGCGCCCCCAGATGCATTTCCGCCGCGTCCACTCCGTCCGCGATTGCCATTCTTACTGGGGTCAGGCCAGTTGATGCGCTTCAGAGCGATGATCTCGTCAGTACTAGAGTACGAGACGATAGCGAAGAAGCCTTCTGTCTGCGGCTTGGGGTAGCGTGGCGCGAAGATGCGTATACCGCCTTGTTGCATTCTAGCCGGGTTCTGACGTGAGATCTTGAAGTCCAAGCCGAGCGCGTTGACGTTGCCCAGGTCGAGCTTCAGTACGGGCAAACGAGAGACTGGCTCGATGCAACGCTTAATTCCAGTAGATGTGACTCCAGCGAACTTAGCTGCACGTTCAAGCACCGCGGGCGATGCGGTAGTTGTCTCAATGAGATCTTTCGGACTGGCCTTAGGGTGCTCGAGACGTTTCTTCTCACTCTCAACTTCCACGCCTGGGAAGATCGATAACGGCCCGTCATTTGGCCAGCGCGCTGACTTGATAGCTTGGAGGATCGTGATCATTGTTTCGCATGAAGAGAGGTAACCCAGTTCAGTGAGTACGTCAATCGATGCCTGTACAATACGGATACTCTGATCCAACACACTGTTTAGATCACCGACATAATCGGATATTGGCAAGTCGATCCGCGAGAAGTGAGCCTGTAGAAGTAGAAATGACTTGACATGAGGGTCCCACAGGGGTAGGCCGAAGTCATCCGCGGAAATAGGAAGGGCTTTCGAAAGCTCGGCGTTGATGAGGTCTTCGTTATGACGAACAGGCAGCTCGTCGTATTCGGTGGCGTGAGAGATCCATGATAGAGCGTCGGCGAAGGTTGCGTTGCGTTTGACATTCTTCACAAGGTAGCGAATCGTTTTGTGGCTGAGGTAGTAGTAACTCATGATCTTGCCGAGTGGTGTTGGGTCAACTTCGCCTGTAGGCTCGACGATAGCGCAAGAGGACTCGTCCAGTTCACTGAGGGAGGTCTCCACCAGCTCGACCATATAGTGGTTGGCTAAGGACTGCGCGGCAATCGTGTTGTGTTCCTCTGCTGAAATCTCTAATCCGTAGAATGACGGGTTCTTATGCAACCGGCGGAAGAAGAAAGTCCAGGTCAGGTAATCGAGCGCGTCTTGTTTTGTAGCAATAGTACCTGCAGAGATTTCGGCGCCCAAATGGTTGTCCAGCACCTTGTGCAGAGACGATTCGACGGGAAATCCAGTATGCAGGAAATGCTTGTAGAATTCTTTCTTGGCGTCTTGCGTAAAGATGCGCGCAATACCTGAGTCATCGAACTGAGGACGTCCGGCACGACCCAGCATTTGCAGCACATCCGTGAGATCCATGTCTTTGTACCCTTCTGTTTTGGCATCGAAGAACTGTGTACCCTTGACTACGACAAGATGGGCTGGCAAGTTCACACCCCATGCAAGTGTACTAGTGGCGACTAGGATTTGAATCTGGTTGTTTGCGAAGAGCTCTTCTGAGAGCGATCGATCAGTCTCGACAAGACCAGCGTGATGCAGGCCTATACCAAAGCTCAGTGCCTCGCGTAATGAGTCATCCTTTACTCGGTCGAGATTGAGTGCCAAATCGTCTTCAGACATGTGAAGGAAGCGTCTTGGGTTATCTTCCATGCCGCAAAAGTTGATCAAATCGCGAGCCGTCAAACGAGTCTGTCTACGGGAGGCTACGAAGACGATAACTGGCTTTTCCGGTGAGTGAGCTTTGATTGCCAGGAAAGTAGGTCGGTTCATCGATTGCATGAGCGGGCAAAAGCCTCGCTGTTCCGGGAAGCCATCGATGAAGATTTCCAGCGGTACCGGACGCACAGAGTGGCGGAAATTAAACAAGCCTTCTTTGACACCAAGCCAGTTTCCAAGATCGGACGCATTAGCGCAAGCAGTGGACATGCCTAGAAGACGGATTGAGCCGTCTTTCTTCTGTGATGCAATATAGTTCATACGAGAGACAATGATCTCCAGAATTGGCCCACGGTCACCGCCCAGTAGATGGATCTCGTCGATGATGACCAGACTGACTTGGCGAACGTATCCACGAGTCTGCCAGCTACGACTGATACCATCCCACTTCTCAGGCGTTGTAATGATAATATCGGCATCCCGAATTGTGCGTGTGTCCGGAGTGTTGTCACCAGTCAACTCAACAAGCTTGAGGCCCATTGGCCCAGCTAGACGCTTGCCCCAATCCTGAACTCGCTCGCGAACAAGTGCTTTCATAGGGGCTATGTATACGACCTTCGAGCCGGGCTTCTCACGGAACGCCCACCACATTGCGAGCTCCGCAGCAACGGTCTTGCCACTACCTGTCGGTGATCCAAGCAAGACATTGGCAGGTGTGTGGTATAGGCAATGGAAGATCTGTGATTGCATAGGGTTGAAGTACTGGAAGCGCTGCGCGTATACTTCCTCCAACAGTGGGTTCTTCAAAGCAGCGATCGGCAAAGGCTGAAGATTCAACAGGTCGGTATAGACACTCTCTGTGTCCGGCCGAATGAGATGTTGGAAGGATATGGGATGGACAGTCTCGGCGCCTAACCATCGATCAGATAAGGCGCGAACGTATACTTGCGTAGGCAAAGGATCAGAAAGTGGGATCGTGAAGTTCAGTTCGTGATCATCGTACAGCTTTCGGCGTGACAAGATGAAAAACTCGTGATGGTAAATCTCAGATGTTTCCGAGTTCTCGACCCAGATCCAGAATGATTCGGAAGTACCATGGTGACGATCGTTCCAGACAAAGTCAGGCGTAAGGAACAGCTGGATGCGGAGCACATCTCTGTTGAGCGGAGCGATCTCAGATTCAATGCTCAAGGTTGGGAAGTTGTTCATGAGCTTTGAGATGACGCCACCCATCTTCTTGTTATGTACTAGGTCTCCGATCTCCGTTGCATCCATTTCGCGCAGGGTTTGTATCGACGGATATTTGTGATCAAGCGCGCGCAAGACTGGCTGCGGCAACTCATATTGATGCAGTGGGTGCTGGAAAGACCAGCATCGATGTTCGATAGATTGGCAAAGACTTAGCAGTACCTGACACTGGTAACCCCAGCGCCTATTAAGCGCAATCATGAATAGCGCACGCGCGATACGTGCTGCATTCTGGGTCACATAGTTCGTGTCTGAAACCAGGGTGAAATCTTCCAGTCGTGCTCGCGAGATGTGAGCTTGGAGAAGATAGTTTGTCTTTCCATGCGAAGTAGCATACCCATCCTTGACTTGTGTGATCACATGCCCTTCTTCTTTGAGGGCTGAAAGCTCCTTCTCCTCGGATTCGCGTGATTGTACCTGGTCGAACTCGCCACTCATGCTGACCATAGCCAGAGCATCCGCGTCTGTGCTACGAGGTCGCATCATTGTGTTGAAGATTTCTATACTTGATTGCTGGACGTAGTACTGGCTCGCAATACGCCCGACATCTTTCGCTCGAAGGTCTTCTGTGGTCTCGTTGAAGATAATCATTTGACTTCTCTGCAAGATTCGTGCGGCATCGATGATAAGCTTGCGACGTCTCCCGACAAGCTGTGGATCGTCGCGTAGCTCATTCCATTCAATGCCATACATCAGCGGGCTCTTCTGCATCCGTACGAAGAGGTAAGAGTAACCGAGCCATGTCACAGCTTCAGAGACCGTAGTCACTGTACCAAGCGATATCTCGGCATTGAGATTGTCTATGAGCTTTGCGGAAAACCTGGATTCAATAGGCTGTTGCTCAGTTACGGCGCGCATGTAGTGATCCAACCTGTCGTGTGTCGTACAAATGAAGCCAATACCCGTATCCTGGAATTGGGGTCGACCGGCACGACCAAAAATTTGCAGAACATCTAAGATGCCCAAGTCGGTGAACTTACCTTCTTGTGCGTTGTAAACTTGGGTGCCCTTGATGAGGACGGCTGCCGCGGGTAAATTGACACCCCAAGCCAATGTCGCCGTACAGCAGAGCACCCTTAGAACGCCCTCAGCGAAAAGGCGCTCGATCAGGTTTCTGTCAGAACGAGGCATACCAGCATGGTGAGTACCCATGCCCTTTCCAAGTAGCTCGCGTAATTCTCGGCCCTTTGACTGCTTCATGTCGCGTACAGCATTTTCGTAACGAGGATGGTCCTGCGGATCGAATAGATCGGTGCACTGTTCTTCCATAGCCATGTCGTACAATCGCCTAGCTGTCTTGACAGTGTCTTTCCTTGAATGCACAAAGACCATGATCTGGTGGCCCCGTTTGAGCATTTCGACGACCTTGTCATAGGCCACTCTCTCCACGTTCTCACGTGACTTCGCAGTGCCTGGCTTGCCCTTGGCGCCGATAAAGTGCTGCTCCAAAGGTACAGGACGGAATGAAGCGTCAAAGTAGAATAGACCAGCCATCTTGTTCACTCGAAGGAAGTCGGCTACGTCGACGTAATTAGGCAGGGTCGCCGATAGACCGACAATTCGAATGAGTGATTGTGTACTCTCAACCTGTCGCTGAGTACGCGCTACCAAACTTTCCAAAACAGCGCCACGCTCATCGTGAAGCATGTGAACTTCATCGATGATGAGCAGACGTACTTTCTGTACCAGCTCGGTGTCTCCAGTGCTTTTTCTCGTTACCACATCCCACTTTTCCGGCGTAGTAACTATGATCTGGGTGTCCAAAATTTCGGCTTTGGTAAGATGCATATCACCAGTCAGTTCGCGAGCCTTGATACCCAACCATGCTAAGCGCTTTCCAATCTTGTCTGTAACCTCAGCAGCGAGCGCCTTCATGGGTGCGACATAGATGATCTTGAAGTCTTCCATCATGACTGTAAAGTCGGTCGCCTCAGGCTCGTCGATCGGGTTCGGCACAACATTCTTGGCCACGGTGTTGAGAATGGTGAGCATGGCGGCATCTGTTTTACCAGCACCAGTAGGTGCGCAGATCAGCATGTTCTCACTGGTTTTGTAGGCGACTGGGTACACCAGACTCTGCATGCGATTGAGAGATTTGTAGCCTTTGAAGGTACGCTGACAGAGACCGTCCAGTTCCTGGATCTCGAGAAGCCTTCGACCGACGCCAACAGTACCTACCGGGACTGCGGGGATTTCGTATTCTTCATACAGGTTGTTGTCGCGATGCTCAGTATCTGGAGGTAGCGCGTACTTCTTGCCATAAGCCGAGAGCTTGTTGCCGGCTTCGTGTGTCCGATAGACGTGAGGATACTGGGGACCTGTTCGGTCCATAGAAGGCGCCAGCGCGGCAGTCTTGTGCTCCCAATCCGCCCGGCGCAACGCTTCTTCGCGTTCGGCTCGGGTCTGTAAACGGCCCATGGCACCATTGCTTTGGGCGGGAGTAGGCTCATGCAAGGATCGCATGATGTCCTTGCGATGGGATATGAGCTCGGCTACAAGGTCCAGCTCCCCGTAGCCAACAATGTCTGCAAGCATCATCTGTAGTTCTTCGTCTATCTATAGTCAGCATGCTGCAGATATTGACTGTTGGCTTGAAGCCTCACCATTACTGTCACTAGACAGGATCGCGGTGATCTGCTCCTTCAACGCTCCAGCGTCCAGACCGGAACCGCTTTGGGCTACAGGAGAACATTTCTCTGCGAGCCATTGCTGGCTGTAAGCCTCGCCACCGACTTGGCCCTCAGGAAACTGGTCGAGGTGATCACTGCTGAACTCTTCTTCGTACTCGTCGCTGATAATGTCCCAGATATCTTCGCCACTGACGGTTCCAGAGAAGTCATCATCATCGAAATCGAGGTCGTCTCCGTAGGCTGGCGCCTTCTCAGTATCGGCAGGGAGATTGAGTTCGGCGATGGCTTTGCGCATGGCGTCGAGCTGCTCGAGCCATTGCGCCTGGGCGTCCTCGACGGCGGGCGACATTATCACAGCTTGTCCGAACGTTGGCGGTCGATGTGATTCAGGTGCGCGCGTTGGACCGCTGTTCACGATGGAAAGCGTGATTGCCTCTGCGTCAGGCTTGGCAGAATCGATGATGGGTGAGTGTCCTGGATTCGGCTGGACCTGCCCCGCCCCCGCGCATTAGCGGCATGACATAATCAGCGCGCCACATGCTGGTTCCGCCGACCATGAGACGCATGCTGGCGCCAGGAGTGCTATCTCGGGCCACGACTCCAGGCTTCCTTTCTCCACGACCCTACCACACGCACACAAACCACACAACCTTGCCCTACCAGTCTCCCCACTTACCTTCCTCACGAATAAAACAAAGTCGCCGCCAATATGAAGGTCCTCTATATTGGTGTAAGAGCCCATTCACCGCCGCTTCCAGTATCGGACGAGTACTAACCATGTACAGGTCCTCAAGAATGAGACCAAACCCGCGATCGAACTTTGCGCCGAGCGCGATCTGTCCAGCTTCGGCCGCTTTACACGGGGAAGCGTCGGAGAGTTCGTACGTCACCTTCACCGCACAGCCAGGTTTATGGCAGGTCATACGGACCGAGAGACACAAGCTGATAGCCGTCCAGATGTCATTCACAGCAAAGACGGTCGCTTCTAGAACACTACCAGGGCAAAGACAGGATGTCGAGGAGTCAGGTACGTCCTTCGTCAGCACAGCCGCTTCATGCGCAGACATGCTAATCGAGCGCGTTCAGATTACACATTCCACGCCTACGGCCGTTCCGAAGGCGTGTGCGGCCTCATGATCACCGACCACGAATATCCCTCCCTCGTAGCCCACCAGCTTCTCTCCAAAGTTTGCGACGAGTTTCTCTCCAAATACCCGCGCTCCGCTTTCGCCAACGCGACCGAATCGGCCAACATGTCCTACCCTGAGCTCAAAGACTACATCGTCAAGTACCAAGACCCACAACAGGCCGACAGCATAATGAAGATCCAAAAAGAGTTGGACGAGACCAAGATCGTGCTACACAAGACCATCGAGAGTGTGTTGGAGCGAGGAGAGAAGATTGACAACCTGGTTCAGAAGAGTGATGAGCTGAGTGCATCGAGCAAGATGTTCTACACACAGGTGAGTGTTCAAGAGATGGCAACTGAAAGCTCGGTCATGCTAACACGGTCACAGGCTAAGAAGCAAAACTCTTGCTGTATTGTCATGTAAAGTCTGGGCACGGTTTGGCGAATTTGTCATTTTATTGGGCGTTGATACCTGACTTGTGTTCGAGACAAGCAATCTTGCATACCTATTACCACATATCAAGGCTGGTTGTCTCATATTTCCCTTGCTTGTCACTTTGCTCTGAAGAATTTACATGTCGACTGGTTAGGCAAGGTGGTGAAGATTCTGCCCCAGCGCCTGCGCTGTGTAGCCGAGCTGACGTTTTCTATTCATCTACACTGATGGCTACTTCCTCATCCTCTTCTAGATCCATCGGATCAGGGAGCTCGTCTTCGTCTTCATCTGAGTCGGAGTCGGAGTCGGAGTCAGATGCAACGGAATCCTGGTCGAAGAAGTCTTCTGTCACCTCTCCTTGTACAAGCTCCGTCTCATCCTCCTCGTCGATATCGCCAATTTGCCGCGCATAAGCTTCCAGGTTGGTGCCCACGACTGTCTCAGTCCTGTCCCAGTTGTTGAAATCCGTGTCAGCATCGTCGTCGTGACGCGGATCTTGCCAGACAAGAAACATTTCAGTTGTAGCCAGTAAAATGTCAACCCAGGGCTGCTTCCAATCATCATGCATTTTGCCGAGCCATTCTTCGATGCCGTTGATGAGGTTATCTTTTGAAGCTTCGTCGGCGAGTTCGCGGTAAGTGACGTCCGGTTCATTGGGCGATTTGTTGCATAGCAGGGTGCGACATTGCCGTACATTATACTCCCAGCTGTTCTTGAAAGAGGTCTCAGCCCATCCTTCCTCTTCAGGACATCGATGAGGTGACTCAGGGTCGTAGGCAAGGCAGCGTCGAGCGAAAACAGCACTAGAGCGATGACGAGTATCCTCCGGTGTGTCTGGTGAGTACGAGAGGCGCTTCTTTCGTTCCTTGCCTGCTGGTGTTCGGGGAGCTACTTCATCAGGCTCTGCTACACGTGCAGGAAACTGAACACCCTTCGCATACACATCCACTGCCGTCTTGGCGCTATACGCACGAACGACCTCCACGTCCGCAGCGGGATGCGCAGCCTCCCAGGCATCTTCTAATCGCGCGATATCCTCCAAGTTATCGACATCGTTGACTAGGTTGGTCTTCCGCATATAGTATGCTCGCTTGGCAATCTGCCAGCCATCCGCTGTGGAGCCGGGACGTAAGACACGCCACGGGCCGCCGGAGTTCAACCACTTATCCCATAACTCGGCAAGCAGCTTGAGATGAATCTGCAAAAGACACATCGAACACCAAGCAATCGTATCCTGTTCCTCGCCTTCCTCCTCTACTTCGTCCTTTGGTTGTCTTAGAGCATCTGGACGTGGATCTCCAGGATGTAGAGGGTGTCCACATCGCTTTGCTAGTATGTATCCCGCAAATGATGGATCTGGCGACTTTCTCTCCGCTTCTGGAGTCTCATCGAGGTTCGCGCATTGTCTAGCGCGCCACTCCAGAAAGTCCATGTACTCAAACGCGGTGGGTAGGAGGACGTCATCATCGTTTTGAACAGCGATACCAAAGGCGGACTTGCGCCAGCGTTGGTAGAGTTCGATCTCGTACGGCAAGAAGAGCGCAGAGGCCTTGGGTACGATTTTCGGTGTAGGCAAGGCCATGTTCTAATCGCGTGATGCTAGTGGGTGGAGAGGCGCTATTGCGAGGATGCGATTGCGGTTTGGAGCGGCAGAATGGAAGAGACGATATTGAAGATCCCGTGCTCGTATCACGCAGTCAGAAGGATACGGACTGCCGAAGATGAATTTTCAATGTTGTATAGCGAAGTGCGCGTGAGTGTGGGGTTATGTCAACGGGGGTGGGTCGCAAAGCTCAGTGAATGGCGCAGCACGGACATTTTGTAATAACAACAACTGAGCATTCACTCTGCTATTCACTCAGATTTCTATAGAGCACTCGTTGGGATGCTGATTCCGCATATGCATACTCTCCATGGTTATGGAGCTGCTATGACAGTGCCATCATATCCTTTTTTCTCAGATTCGGTCACATCGAAGAGCATAGCACCTGGTTCCTGAGCCCCTGCACCTGTATTCTCGTTACTGAGATCGAATGCAGGGTTTATCGTCGCTGCATCCCAGTTCTCGTCTGATATCGCCGAGCTCTTCTGATACATAGCCTGCTCAAGCTTCTCGTAATCACGCTTGTAGTCTTTTGTATCCGCATGCGCTTCTCCCAGCGTCTGTCTCGCACCTTCATACGTATCACGATACTTCTGCAAAGCCCGCACAAAGCTCCCCTGTTTCTCTAGTATTCCGGCTAGTATCCACATGATCTCCAGAGTTTCGCGACCATGTGAGCCGAAGCTCTCAGTTCGCCATGAAAGGCAAACTATGGCCAGTTCTTTTGCTTCTTCAAGTTTGTCCGTATGTGCGATTGTATGGGCGAGGTCACTCATCGTCTGGAAGCGCTCTGGATTATCGTAAAACTCGCTGGAATCGTACCAAGAAAGTGCACGACGTAGCAGGGCCTCTGCTTCGATGTACTTTTCTTGAGAAAGTAAGATGCGTGCCAGTGTTGCAGCAGCTTCGGGCACTGTGGAGTCATTGTCCTCGCCAAACATACGCTCTTTCTCTGAAAGCGACTCTCTTAGATAATACTCCGCGTCGGCGGATCGACCATCTAATTGCAATCTCAACCCGATTAGATCCAATTCCTTGACCCAGCTAGTATCGCGTGCTACATTTCGTGCTTCAGAGGCTTGTTTCCAGGTGACGTAGGCTTCAGTATAGCGACTTCCTGTTAGAAGAAAATAGCCGCGCTTGGTAAGGGATTCTTGCGTGCTGGGATGCGCAAGACCAAAATTGCGGACTCTGACTTCCAGCGATTGCATTTGGATTGCTTCGGCTTCTGAACGACGGCGTTGGAAAGATAATACATCGCCTATGCGATCCATGGTATCCAGTGTATCGAGATGTCCATGGCCGAGAGCTTTCTGCTGCAAGCGTAAGATATTGCGATACAGAATTTCCGATTCCGCATTTCTGTCTGTCTGGAAAAGTAGGAGTGCTTGCAGTTTACGGCATTTGAGTGCTTCGGGTGTCTTTTTACCTCCTGTAGTTTCGAAAGCCTCAGCCGCAACGCGGTAAAGATCTTGCGCTATCTCAAGCCCGGTTCTTTGGTCGTAGTAACGCGCAATCTTCCTGGTAAGCGATGCCCATGCACGTAAGGGATGTATGGCAGCATTCGATGGCCGGTACGGAATGGCAGCATATGCATGTGCGATCAGAGGCTCGCATCTCTTGAAGTCACCGTCATCTGAGTCGTGAAATCTATCATCGAGGATACGTATGAAGTGTTGACTCCAGATATCGAGCTCATCATGTTGAACGAGCCACCTTTTAGTCGTGAATTGCACCAGCGGATGCATAGAGAAATGCCTCCTGTCCCTGTTCATCTTGATCAGGCTAAAATCCCTGAGAGCGAGCCAGTCGTCCTCAAAGTCACGAGGGAGGCTCTTAGGAAAAGACAACGACTGTTGCTCTATTTTCTTTCGGCGCGCATGAGTCCGTCGCTTCCACCATGATGTGCGGATGTTCCGTGACGAAAGTATCACTTCGCTGTATTGCCCCTGGAGAAGCGCCTCCGGAATGTCCTGTCGATCAAAAAGACACATCAGCGACAAGAGCCTAGCGGCCGAAGGCATGGTCTTGTGGACGTACTCGAATGTGATTCTCCATGTCTTGACGATTGAGTTGGAACGCCCCGCCTTACGACGTAGCTGTGGAATATCCTCTTCTAAGGCGTTTGAATCTTCCTCATCCTTCGTGCTAAGCTCTTGTAAATAGTCGCGTATTGGTAACGACCGTCTGCTGATATAAGCTGCCGCATGAGTGATTGCGAGCGGGATGTAGTCGACAGTCTCAACAAGTAGTCTCTTGTCCTCATCTTCGTGGCTATCTTCTAGATGCGTTTGTAGGAGCGCGATTGCCTCTGCTTCACTCATTGGCTCCACATGCTTTATGTTTTTGTAATTGCAGGTGATCTGAAAAGCAGCATCTCGGCTTCTCGACGTGACTAGGACTGAGCCATTTGAAGATTGCGGTATGAATTCTCGTATCTCTTTGGACTGGTCGATTCCCTTGTATTTCGGCGGTAGACGGTTGAAGACGTCCTTGTCGTCCGCGTTGTCGATGATCATCAACCATGTTGCATTCGCTTCGTTGCGCAGCCAATCGTAGACGAGACCAAAGACATCCGCGTCCTTGTCGCTTGCGCCATTGATGCGCAAAATTCTGGCAATCTCACGATAGCTCTCTTCCATCTTCGTAATATTCTCCGCATCGATCCAGAAAACCCATGTGTTTGGAAAGTCTCGTTGGACTCTGTAACCGTACTCAATTGCAATCTGTGACTTTCTTTGCTCAAATTTAGCTGCTGCAAATTGCCGTGCTGGGTAACGGAGAATGTGAAGGCTGTAGATAGTTCAGCCGGGTGGTTGTGTACGTACCCGATGCCGCCTGCTCCCACAAGCGCATGTCGCGATCCAGGTCCCCTCAAGGCAAGGAGATCAGCAAGCACAGATCTCTCGATGAAGTCGACATCCTTGCCGAAGGGACAGATGAATCTCGGCATCGGAAGTGGCTGTGAAACTGCAAGTTGTTGGTTGTTAGATCGATCAAGCCCACAGTCTGTCATGGTCGACGCCAACATACCTGCACCACCTCTGCTATCAGCTGCGATAGCAGACTCCAATGTCAAAGTCGACACATAGCCTCTGATCACACCTTCTATGTGTTTCACTTCGCTGTCATAACGAAAGCTTGTAACGGCTTTGAGATTACGAGACGCATTCGAGTTGGCCCGCGGGCGCATCTTCAATATGATATCCGACAGAGCCTGAATTTGAAGCTCAAAATCTTTGATAAGTGGTTCCAACGCTTCCTGGCTTTCTTCAGAAACCCTGCCATCGTCAATAGCCTGCCGAATGCGCCTTAAAGAATTTATCAGCGTTGGAAGCTCGACGCTGAGTGACTTCAATGCCCTTGGCAGACCCTCGGTTGTCGCTCTGAAATCGTTAAGCCGCTTGACAACTTCTGTTGTGATGTGAATGATCGAGATGATGTTTGCAGCGACGCCAAAGGCTTCCATGATGGGGAGGGCGAGAGGGCTGACTGAAGGCAAAGAAGCTACGGGCAAGGAACACCCAGCGACGAGGAATCCACCGCGGGGCATTCAGAGGGACTTTGATTTACGCGTGAGCGCGGCACAGCAAGGCTGCGACGACTTGTGATGCATCGACATGGGTTGCTAGAAAGTCATTCGCTGAAGGCGCGTACAAGACGCGCGAAGAAAGCCGTGCGATCAATTCACGCGCCCTGAGGCAGCAGCCCTTCCGAAAGTGAGCATGCCTAAAACTTTTGTTGAGTTGATATTCGCGTATTGAGAATCAGACTGTTGCGATAGTCGTGCTACAGTGCCCACGGGGCAGGATTGATCCCTTGGAGAAGTGCGAAGCGTGTTGGGCTGGCAGGCGCCTGCCAGGCGCCCGCGCGGCCCCGGGCGCGCGTTCAGGTACATACAGCGCTAACCCAAAACACGATGGATGCGAGGTGGGGCAACATCTCACCAGTTGACGCATACAACCTTGCCCCATCACCAACGACGTTCGCAGCACTAACAAACTACTGCCACGGTTGAAGAAGTCAACCAGCTGAGACGACGTGAGAGAGGACATCTTGATGGATCTGTATCGGAATAGCAAGCTGATTACTACCTAGGTAGAGCTACTATCCTACCGTCTATTGCTGCAACAGCGGTTGACCAACGCCGAACCTGGGTACTGAGTCTACACCTCATTAAGTAAATAAGCAAATTGGATATCTCGACATTGAACATTCAGACCGATTACAACCCCCTCGATTTACCAACACCTTCGTACCGGAAACCCAGAGCTTCGAGAGGCACAGGATCGACGACGTTACGTCCATCAAAGACGTACATTGGACGGCGCATGACCTGCGAAACGCGCTTCCATGATATCTCCTTGCGCATTGTATCCACATCACCGTTGTGTACTGAGTCGCCGCGAACGTGCCCGCTTCTCGTAGGCTGCTTGTTGCTGAACTCGTCCCACTCCGTCAATATGACCACGGCGTCGGCGTCGGTACACGCGTCGTAAGTCGAGGAGCAGACCGTGAGTCTGCCTTTGATGCTCTGCGGACTCGGGTTACTGCTCTCGATATCGTGCAGTATTTGCGATTCCTTGACTTGTGGGTCGTAGATCCTGACGTTGGCACCTTCAGCGAGTAGGTTGTTGACGACTGTGATAGCTGCTGACTCGCGAGTGTCTCCTGTATCCTTCTTGTATGCAAAGCCAAGAATAGCAAGCGTCTTGTTCGAAAGCGAATTGTACAGGCATCGCACTATGCGGCGGGTAAATCGGTCCTTCTGGTACTCGTTTATGTCGACTACCGATCGCCAGTAAGCGGCGACCTCAAACAGGTTTAGGGACTCTGCGATGTATGCAAGGGATAAGATATCTTTGCGGAAGCAGGAGCCACCAAAGCCGACCGACGCCTTGAGCATTCGAGACCCAATGCGCTTGTCCAATCCAACAGCATAGGACACCTCATCGATGTCGGCGCCTACTGCCTCGCACATGGCACCCAGTGCATTGACACTGCTGATCCGCTGAGCGAGCAGTGCATTTGCAGCTAGCTTGGCCAGTTCTGAGCTAAACAAGTTGATCGTGATGATGCGATCTGGGCTGACCCAAGCTGAGTAGATCTGAGAAAGAGCTCGTGCAGCCGCCAACCCATGGGGAGTCTTGAGAGAGCCGATGAGAACGCGATCAGGGTTCGAGAGATTTTGGATAGCGGTTCCTTCGGCCAAGAA